TAAATTCGTATGGTCGATATCGTCATTATATACAAAAAGAGGCAAATGCGCTTGTTCAATCAAATTCATATTTGATATATGCCTTGAATTTATATAAAAAATAATAAAAAACTGTTACCCCTCTTTAGGCAGACTTATTTATTAGATAAAAATTAACATTTTACACTAGAATACACACTTGAAATATTATTAGAAAAGGTGGAGGCTTGGTCGTCTGTTGTACATACGGAGGCACCTAAGATAGCTATGCAGATATATATATATATATATATATATATATATATATATATATATATATATATATATATATATATATATATATCTGCATAGCTATATATCTTGGTGTCTCAGAACCATAATAGATACGAAGATGGTTAAATTGGGGCAAAGTTGCTAAAAACTAAATCAAGCGATAAAGCGAATCGCTTGCTACTTGCCATTCATCACCGAAAGAATATGTGCCCTGCGCACGCAACTGACTGCTTGGCGTTAACGAGTACTTACAACAAGCGACGGTCGAAAAACCGTATTTTTAAATACGAGCGATATTTAGCTTTGGTTATTGCAATCGCTTGATACTCGGGTACTCGATTATTGAAATTAATCGGTTTTTCCCATTACTACATACAACAGTCACAATCGGAGATCCTCCCGTTGCAGTTGGACAGACTATCCTTAGTCTGCCCAACTGCAACGGGAGGATCTCCGATAGTCTGTCCTTATCATTTAGTATAGTTTATACGATCCTATATAACCAATAAATGATAAGGATAGTCTGCCCATGTAAATTTTGAAAATATTTCGCCAGATAATTTTATGCAAGTTTTATAAGACTTTTTTGAAAAGGCGTTAAAGTTTTTTGTCTAGAATTTCGTTTCAATATCATTTTTGGTATTGTTTGGCTATGAATAGGGGATTATGTGAACAGTTTATTAATTAGTATATTTATTTTATAAAGTTTCTTTAGTTACACATATTTCGATTATTTCTTAAATTATTGTGGTATGAGCAAGGCCCGAAAGTGATTGAGCAATGAACAGTTAAAAAGTCATACACCGCGAATACTATTTCAGTTCAACTAATTCTTTTGAGATGGTCATTCCAATTAAGAAAATAATTAACCACCCTTTCCAAACCACAAATCAAAGAATATACCTAGCTAGAAAAAGAATGGACTCTGCCATACTGAAAAATAGTCCTACAGAAGTGGCGCCATCTATTGAGTAGGGCTTGTTTTAAACGGATCGTAGCGCGGGCTTTTTAAATGAGCGTATTTATTGAATTTTACTCTAAAATAATTAAATTTGATTATTAAATCTTATTTTTTACACAAATTCAACAACACTAATATCAAGTATCGTTGATGTGTAAAAAATAAGATTTGACAGTATAATTTATACAATTATTAAATAAAATCAAAGTCAAACATGTGAAATATTATTTATTATTTAAAGATTTTATTTATAAGTCAAATATTTAAACATCGTTTATTATAATAAAACAAGACCAACGTAATATGCCCCACAAATCACACAGATTCTTATAAGTATGTTGTAAATAAAATGTGACATCGAATTTGACAATGACAAAATCATACCCATAGATAAATGAAACAAGTAGCTGTTAGTGCATTTGCTGTACTCCATTCGCGAATTTCAAGTTCCAGAGCTTTACGCCCTGGGGCGCTATTCTGTACACGGCATCGACAATCGTCGGTATCGGTAAGTTACGACAGCTCTTGATACGTATTTGTATATAGTAAATATGTGTTAATTGTTGTTGTCATAGTTACCGATCGGCCCTATGGCAGATATCGCAAATTTGTACCGACGAGGATCGGTATCTCTACCGTGCCCTTGTTAACCCCACGATAGAGATACAGCTATCGGTACGTACGGCCAATGAGCGTCTTATTAATTGTTGTTGTCATAGTTTTAGCTGTCATTAATAGGTCATATAGCAAATTTGTACCGACCACTATCGATATCACTTCCGTGAGGTTTACAAGGGCACGTAGAGATACCGATCCTCGTCGGTACAAATTTGCGATATCTGCCATAGGACCGATCGGTAACTATGACAACAATTAACACATTTTTACTACATACAAATACGTATCGAGAGCTATCGTAACTTACCGATACCAACGATTGTCGAGGCCGTGTACAGAATAGCGCCCCTGAGCTACTCAGAACGGTTCTGAAAGGAGCTGTGCGCGATAGCCTGGTGCCTCCATATGGCGCGGAACAGTTCTGAACTTTATGACTCAATTGAATGGAGTGAGAGTATCGCGTTCTAATTGCGCGACAGTAATAATTGTCCATAAGGACAATGTAAACACTTATTTCTTGCAACGGCGCTATTCTTGCAACGGTCGCGACCCAAAGCTTTTGATAATTTCGGATTGGTTCGGCTTTTTCCGGAATTATATCGCCAAATATTATTTATTCAAATTTATTATTATTTTCTTTTAATTTTATAAATATAGTACAGTGTTGCATACAAGAAACTTAATTTTATATAAGGACATCTATGTGAAATACCTTTGAAACATAGGAAACCGACGTTATGCCACTATCCACGATGGTTTTTGCAGTTCAGTTCACAACACAGTTTTTTAGTTTTTAATGCCACTTTTTCACAATTATCACGGGTTTGTGTAAGTAAAATTTAAATTAAACGCACAATTTAGCAATAATTATTGAGAATGGACACTTTAAACATGTTTCGATATTATTTCAATGAGGGCGATTTAAATTATGAAAGATTTTATAATTTTGACTTTGACAAGAGAAAATTATTTCTGTTAATGTTTGCCGTTGTTCTTAGCAACCGCTATAGCAGCGCCAGATCGCGTACAACGATCGCGACCCAAAACAACTATGTATATTGCAACGTACAATATATTTTGACGGGCTTTCCGAATACGCTTTGCTGGTATTTTAATTGTGACTCGACTCTGGGCCGTATTATAATTTTTTTAGTAATTTGAAGGTAGATTTTGATGATATGAACTTTGATGAAATGATTGAAAATAACATTTAAATGTCTACTCCAGATAAAACAAAATTCTAGACAAGAGTACAACTTCTAATTCAAATTCAACAAAGTCTAATACAACTTTTCATAAAATCATCTAGGGAGATAATATAATATGACCTTTTCAAAATTTACATGTGATTTCCTGTCCTGTGTTCCTATGCACCACACGGTATATACCACGTATCGTACGGTATCTTCTCACCAATGAGGGGGGGGGGAAATGGAACGATTTCGATTGACGGCATTTAAAACAATTTGTCTTTGAATTAAATCAACAGAAGACTATACTCTCTCGTTGAACGGACTATACATACATTTAAACTCTAAAGGCGCACTCTCACGACTCGTCTACTTGGCAAGTACGCCAATATTTGCGATGTATTTGCGTACTTGGCAAGTATCCCCACCAGTCCCCACTTTGTAAACAACATCGGCAAGTGTAGCGCTCACACGACGTGTCCTTTTCAACAAATTCGCCAGCACAAACATTGTTTAAATCCTTGGCAAGTAAACAGTACAGTCGCATCGATGGATACCGGTCGTCCCGAAATTGTCGTTGCTAGTGATTCTTTTTTCTTTTTAAGTTCTTTTACTGTACACTGCAATACGATTTCTATGTTTGGCCATCCATATGAAGGGCTCATTTTCGTATAAATCCATAAATTCCAAAACAACATCATTTGAAGACTACACGGAAAAACCCAGTTTTGTCCATTTTAATTGGCGCCGAGAAAAATCCAATTTAGTGTTTTTAAAGAAATATGTTATTTTCGGTTGAATAATTAGAAAAATATATATTACTACCAATTCTGAATTATTAATATTATGAATTATCGCCATATTCTGAAATACCGAAATTAAAATGTCAAAATGCAAAACAAAACAGGGGAAAACCAGGGATGTCCAATTAAAGGTTGTATAAAACCTAAATCTAAACTATTATTTTTTTGTTGTAGGAAGAAAATTAATATTTAAGTAGGTTTTTATTACAATACATAAATTTATAACATATAATACTAATTGCAAGATGCATGCTTGTCGCCCATGCGTAAGTACATCTGTGGTTTTTGTCATTTACGCGTGGACTACTCTGGTTTTTCCTTTGTACGGCAAAATAACCTAGGTGTACAGTACGTCTGTCCGTTCTGTAGCTACGGGGTATCCGTGAGAGGGGAAACGATATTCTCTCGATCTTTTTCGTAAAAAATTAGACGACGCGTCCCATCAATAAAAATTCGACAAATTTGCAAGTAGCCAATAAAATGAGTGGGCGGAGCGATTTGCGGTGACGTACTCGTCAAGTCGACGTATAAAATATATAGCTCTTTATTTAAATGTTTTTTGTCCGCATTCCTTTCGTAGACACAGATCCAGCAGACGTACTGTAATATCTCTGGGACTAAGAGTATTATTGCTTTCTTTTTTCTCGAATGACGTTAACATTTGTCTATAAAGTTGTATCGCTATCTTAATTTCTATATAAATGTGACATATCTGGTTTTTCCCGTGTAGTCTTCATTTGTCCACTCCATGTATTGCTGTGAGAACGATTTACGTATGTAGCCAATATTGAAGTTATTAATGTAAATTTGATATTATATAATCTATTATTGTTTAAACGTTTTAAATTATCCGCAATTAACTCGAAAAACACTACGATCCGGAAATAAACGGGACATACTCTATAAGAGTACAATTATTGGCGCAGTCGTTTTTTTGTACCTTGGCAAGTATAGACAAGGCTGGCCAAGTACATTTGGCAAGTATACGAATAATTATTGTGATCCTTTGACTCGCTATATTTACCGACAGAGAGTGGGGACGCGACGAGTGACCAAGGAAACCGTTCTCACGACATGGCGAATATATTCCAATAACAAATATTTGTCAAGTACACGAGTCGTGAGAATGCGCCTTAATAAATAAACCTTCTATTATCATTATTATTATTATTCAAGAAGTTTTATGAAGATGGTGCCAGAATAGAAGCTGCTTTTAGAAAATATTTTCATAGGGCTGATCCAGATCAAGAGAATGATTCTTATACTATTATTGTTTGTCATGGAAATGTAATAAGATATTTAGTTTGCAGGTAAGATTATGTATCAAATTATAATCCAATTTCTAACGATACTTATAATTAGGGCCTTACAGTTTCCTGCTGAAGCATGGCTGAGATTGTCACTGTATCATGCAAGTATAACATGGATTTCAATAACTCCTAGTGGAAGATGTGTTCTAAGAACTTTTGGAGATGCAGGTCATATGCCTCCAGAAGCCCTTACCTCCACTTAGAAGTCTATCTGACTTGTATTTATTATTTTTTTATATAAAATATATATGAGAAATAATGAAGACATAATTGATCTTTTTGTCCTGTCAATATAAACCACATCCATGTAATAGTCTAAGAGCTAGCAACGTTTTCGAGAAAGTATTTTAAGACGTCTGGCTCTTTGATATATCTTTTACTATGCTCTCTGGAACAGCATGCGATATGGCTGCCGATACCCCGTTGCTACTGCGCATCGGAAGAAGATCCTATATTTTTTATTAATTTAGTCCTATAAATTCTAGTATTGAATATAAGTCGAACATGTCCTGTAAAAGTTATAAAACTGTGTCCTAGAAAACTAGAAAAAATTTCTATTCATCAATTTAAATGTTGGACCTATTTTTCAAGTAATTTCGTATGACCGCTAAACGCAAGGATTAATGATTTTAAAATTTAATGAATTTTAAAATTTATGTATAAGTGACAAAAACTCTCTGTTCGAATACATATCATTCGCAAAGTCTAGTGCCAGAACTAGGTTCTTCTGATATAGAGACTATATCTTCGTTCCCGAGAATCTCCCGAGAATAATCGTTGTCAGAAAACGAAATGTTTTATTTTTTTTTTAAACAGTTGTTTCCAAATTCCTACCGACATTTTGATCTGCATTAAGTAGTTTACACTGTGACTTTAGATAATACATACTATTCTCATCCTCGACTTAAGACCAGGGTTCGGAAAACTACATGTTACTTTTAAAAACTACATAAACTACATTACATGTAGTTAATGTAGTTTATGTAGAGGGTGTAGTTTATGTAACCTATGTATGTTGTAGCATTTTTTATTTCCTTTAATAAAATTGAATTTAAAAATCTATTTTTATTTAAATTTCTTAGTATTGGCGCCATCTATTTGCTAGATGCCAAAGATACCAAACTTCATTTCTTACAGTTTACTTGTCTTGTTTATTAGCGCCATCTATTCGCTATATGCCAAACTTCCTTAATTGCATTTCACTTGTCCCGATATTTAATTTTTTATTAGCGCATCTATTCGCTAGATGTCAAACTTCATTTATGACAGTTGGGTTCTGAAACTGAGAACTGAGAAGGTCTTTTTCTTTTTTCTGGGAATTTGATCTGAAGGAGACGCGTGTTTCGGCGTCCGACAAATTTCTTTTTCCAGTGAAAAGCACTCTGCATCCACTTTTCGATTTCTGATTGCATGGGTATCCGATTTGGAGATTTGAAAACCTTGTAAAGTATGCAATCCAGAGTATAGATCGTGTATTTGTTTGCTTTCTTCTTGGAATGATCACCGTAAGTTTATCCACCATTTTATATAGCCCTCATCTAACTAAATTCTATTTCAGTTATTTCCGTTTTTTATTTCGTTTATTTGAGTATTTAATTACTGGTTTGGATCGGCATATGGTTTGAATATATTTATGTAAAGCTGACTTCAGACCGTAAGTTGTTTTTTTTATTGAGTATCTGTCCTGAGAACTATTTTTTATTTATAGAGTAACTACCACATGGTACTCAGTAACTACCACATGGTACTCAGTAACTACCACCTGGTACTCAGTAATTACCACATGGTATGCAGTTATAATGCAGTAATTATTGTATGTTTCACCCACTTTCATTTTGTGTGGACCTATGCAGGTTTGCTTTCTTCTTGGAATGATCACCGTAAGTTTATCCACCATTTTATATAGCCCTATCTAACTAAATTCTATTTCAGTTATTTCCGTTTTTTATTTCGTTTATTTGAGTATTTAATTACTGGTTTGGATCGGCATATGGTTTGAATATATTTATGTAAAGCTGACTTTCAGACCGTAAGTTGTTTTTTTTATTGAGTATCTGTCCTGAGAACTATTTTTTATTTATAGAGTAACTACCACATGGTACTCAGTAACTACCACATGGTACTCAGTAACTACCACCTGATACTCAGTAATTACCACATGGTATGCAGTTATAATGCAGTAATTATTGTATGTTTCACCCACTTTCATTTTGTGTGGACCTATGCAGACCTTAAGACAGTGTTCCTGACATTACAATCATTTCTTTTGGCTGATATCGAAGACTTCTCCTGCCATAGTCATCTGCATCCACTTCTGTTAGTCTGGAGAATACCTACCTACCTGTTTACATCATAAGAAACTATATACAGATAAGTCTTAAGTTTGATACACAAGGTACGCTTTTATTTTATAATTTGAGACAACAGATTTAATAACCTGGTAAATTATCACTATTTATCCCACATATTGTAGTCAAAATTATTTTTTATTTAACGTTATAAGTTATAATTTGATTCGTACAGTACACTCTTACCTAGCTATGATATTTTATATGAAAATTATTAACACGTATTGATTTTAAAGGTTTTTGTACACGACATGTTTCGAAACATCATCGTATTGAGACACACATCAATTTCACCTGTTTTTTTATTAAGTAGCTTACTTAGTTCAAAGAATACAGTTACTAAATTCGAATCTAATTAAAATAACTTGCGGTTTTATTGGGATCATTGTGACTAATTGATGATACTTGTGTTCGTTTTCAATAAATGTTTAATGTAGGATAGTTATTTCTGACTTTTATTCCTGATAAACATAATAGACCCTTAATGCTGTTGATTACTTTATTTTAGCTATGTTGTGATATCATATTTTTCTTTTTGGTTTCTTACTTTACCACTCTTATAAACAAAGTAAGTGGCGCCCTTTTCACTGTCTTTGACCATACCTATTTGAATTCTTAACATCAATATTAAAATCTCTGCAGCCTATATATTATCATTTTTTTAAATTAATATTTAACAACATTAGAAAGTCACTGTGAGTCAGAAGCCTTACCTACGAACCCAGCTTTCCTCTAACCCTGAGCAACGGATTCTTTTTTCATTCTATTTGGGTAACGACAGAAAAGTCGTCACACATAGAAGAATAAAGTATATTGGCTTACGCCCCACGTTGGGCGCCTGCCCCCCTCCAAAAAAAAGAAAGGCCCTCAAAGAGGACTTTCGCCCAAACAACACTAAGGAAAACTAAATTAAATTGGTACATGTTTTTAGATTTTTGAAATTAAATTTGGTGGATGATAACTTCGTGTATCACACGTCCATAAAGGAGTCACAATTGGTAAGTCACAATCGGTATGTCAAATCAGGGGAGGTTACACAATCGGGAAAGTCAAAATCACCACATAATCAAAAAAAAAACAAAATCATATACAAAATATATGATAAACTAAAACTGAACTTAAAACTAAAAAGGTATGGGATAGGAAAAGAAAAAAGAATCCCATGGAAGCGCAGATGTTTCTGAAGAAATTCCTCCGCGGATCACCTGCACTCAACCCACCTAGTATGAGGCAACGAAATGATTCACAAATCGCGTGTAATCATTCATGCGACCCCTCACACCCAAGGAAGCAGAGAACAAACAAACAATAAAAGAACCTCAACAAAAGCCATGCTACGGATCACTACCGTGTGCTCACCGGTTAACCATTCAAGGTAACTCACCTGTATGAGAAAAAGAAGGAAAATTACAATAGAGAACACAATAGAAAGACACAAAGAAAGAGAAAAAAAGATTGTCACTAATGACCCAAAATATCCGTAACATAGGATTCCAGCCTATGAAACGCTATTGCAAATATGGAAAGAAGATCACAATAATATCCAAAACACAGTAAAACTTACGAAGTCATGAGGTTAGCTACGTCTCACTTCTAGGTTGCAATCAAAATTATAACAACTTTTCGCTTTTTTCACGAAGTTTGTGTTCTCAGAATACACAAAATACAAGAATCTCTTACATTTCAGATTCTTGTGAACTGAATAACAAAGAATAGAGCAAATGACATAAAACTATATGAGTGATTAACAGAATTACCATCCCACAAAATATTTACTCAAAATTAGGTAATCTGTAGAATACTCGAAGAAAAATACTGTCATATGCTCGCATTTCCAAATAGAAATACTATAACATATCAAAAATATAGGTACGCAAAAAAAACTAAATGACAATATAGTTATACTGATTCGCGACAAATCCGTAAAAAAAACGAGAAGCCAATGTTGTATAACTGTTTAATCTGAACTAAAAAAAAACTAAAATATAATCTATGTATCCGTTAGACTAAACCCTAAAAAGGAATCGGACATAATAGATTATTTGAATTACTGTGACGTAGTAGAGACATTTTCTGTATCATCGTCGTCAATCGTGTGACCTTGGTATGGTTTAAGATCTTTTATATGCCAGCGGCCTGCGTTAGTACCATTCTTGTCTACTAAAACATAAACTAAATTCGAGATTTTCTTTCGCACTGAAGATAAAATAAAACGAGGAGCTAACTTGGCTGAAAAGTTAATACCAGCATTTGATAAGACCTTATTACGTCTCCAAACCAAATCACCAACCTGAAAAGATAAATCACGCCTACGCAAATTATAAGACTTGGAGTTTCTTTCATAAGCAGCATGAAGTTTCTTTACGGACTTCGCTAAAGACACTATAAAGATTTTTGAGTTCAGAAGCGTAAGAGTTGCGATCGCCAGGCATAATTTCAAAAATCTTCAGAAAATTTAACTTGACCATAATACTTACCAGAGATGGGAATATGTCTACCAAAAACTAAAATGAAGGAGAAAACCTGTGACCTCAAGTTTAGAAGTATTTAAAGCAAACTGAATATTAGAGAGCTGAACATCCCAATCTGTATGCTGTTTAATATAAGTTCTAATAGCTGTTCCTACAGTTTTATTCATTCGCTCAACAAAGTTACATTGAGGAGAATACACAGCATTATACCAGATCTTCTGAACTTGGTATTTCTTAGCTAAATCTCTAAATTCTTTCGCAACAAATTGAGGACCATTGTCACAAATTATATGTTGAGGTACCCATAGGTAAGAAAACTTCATTCTCAAGATACTTCACAATATAGGGAGATTTTGATGAACGCAACGGACACAGAAGAACATACTTCGAAACCAATCGCCAACAACTAAAAGCCACTTTCTATGACCCTTTTCGATCTAGGAAAAGGACC